ATTTATGCATTGAGAAACAAAGTTAAAAAAAACCCATATAAATTGTTAATCTTCTAAACTTAGAAAAACTGACTTTCTTCAAACTGAGGTTGAATATTTGCATCTCAGTAAGAAAAGATAGGAAAAAAAACTTGGAATAGTCAGAAAGCTTAAATAAAATTGTCCAATTTCTAAACAAACATTGCAAATACTTTGTGGTATGGATAGATTCAGTTTATTAAACAAATAAACAGAACAGTATCCTTATTTTTGGTATCTTGGTAAAGGCTTCAATCTTGTGGATTTTTTCAATTTAGGCTCTTGCTCTTGGACATCATAACTGTACTTATGTGGACTTCTTTTCCAGGGAGTCTCTTTAAAACTCACTTGTAAATACAAGAGAAACGAAACCATAACAGCCATGTTATCTGACCATAATGATAGGGATAGATTTCCAATTGCAGCCATGAGTTAAAAGAAACACTCTAACTGTGAGGACTCCAAGATGTTTTTCCCTGGTGTTTGCCCAACATCACAGATCAGAAGGACAAAATTTGCTAGCCTTAAAGAGCAAGTTGTAGATATGAGAGTTGAAGCCCTGGTTTTGTGCCCAATTAGGATCAGGTATATACATATTCGTTAAGTTCTTGTTAATTCTGAACAGCAGAAGAACAATGACATAGAGATTGCATTAAGTTAAATGTAGGAAAAGTTTCTGATTATAATATGAATGTCACTTTTTCTCTGCTTTGATTTTTGGTAAATTGTGTTATTCTTCCCAAATGTCAAAGAAATAAAAAGAATTGTGTTTTAGATAGACTATTGCACTGTGAAGTTAAAATGGAAACTCGTATTATAGACTTGTCTAATAGAAGTATTGTGATTTACTGTAACAATAAAGATAAAAGAACATTTGAAATATAAGCAGAGACCGGGTGCAGTGACTCATGCCTGTAATCCCAGCAATTTGGGAGGCTGAGGCAGGAGGATGACCTGAGGTTGGGAGTTCGAGACCAGCCTGACCAACATGGAGAAATCCTGTCTCTACTAAAAATACTAAATTAGCCGGGTGTGGTGGTGGGTGCCTGTAATACTGGCTACTTGGGAGGCAGAGGCAGGAAAATCGCTTGAACCTGGGAGGCAAGGTTGCAGTGAGCGAGATCACACCATTGCATTCTAGCCTTGGCAGCAAGAGTGAAACTCCATCTCAAAAAAAAAAAAAAAAAAAAAAAAGAAATATAAGCAGAAAACTATATTATACCTTATTTTATAAAATTTTAAGACAAATCTTAAAGCTTATTTTTATTTGATTGTACCTTAGAATACCTCTCTTTGTAAGGCACCGTAATAAAAAATATAAGCATTTATTTTATCCCAGGTATGTTTTGTTTTCTTTGAAGACAGTCTCATTCTGTTGCCCAGGCTAGACTGCTGTGGCACTGCCTTGACTCATTGCAACCTCCACTTCCCAGGTCCAAATGATTCTTGTGCCACAGCCTTCCGAGTAGCTAGAATTACAGATGTGTGACATCATGTCCAGCTAATTTTTTTTGTATTTTTTAGTAGAGTTGGGGTTTTGCTGTGTTGGCCAGGCTGGTCTTGACCTCTTGGCTCAAGTGATCCACCTGCCTTGGCCTCCCTGTGCTGGGATTACATGTGTGAGCCACCACACCTGGCCTCAGATTAAGTTTTTATTAGTAGATTTTTAGTTTTGAAATTTTTAAAACGCCAAATTCATGTATTAATTTTTCTTTCATCATCATTGAACAAAACTCATTCAGAACCTATTGACAAAAATAGATTGATTACCTGCTATAATGAGAGTCATTCCGTTAGGATCTAAGGACGCATTATTTGGTTACATGGAACTCATAAAATAATAGGAAGATTAAGAAACATATTTGAAAGTGGCTGGGCACAGTGGCTTATACCTGTAATCCCAGCACTTTGGGAGGTCAAAGCAGGAGGATCATTTGAGGCCAGGAGTTTAAAATCAGCCTGGGCAACATAATGAAATCCATCTCTATAAAAAAATACTGGCCGGGCGCGGTGGCTCAAGCCTGTAATCCCAGCACTTTGGGAGGCCGAAACGGGTGGATCACGAGGTCGAGAGATCGAGACCATCCTGGTCAACATGGTGAAACCCCGTCTCTACTAAAAATACAAAAAATTAGCTGGGCATGGTGGCGCGTGCCTGTAATCCCAGCTACTCGGGAGGCTGAGGCAGGAGAATTGCCTGAACCCAGGAGGCGGAGGTTGCGGTGAGCCGAGATCGCGCCATTGCACTCCAGCCTGGGTAACAAGAGTGAAACTCCGTCTCAAAAAAAAAAAAAAAAAAAAAAAAAAAATACTAAAAAGAAAAGTATCAGAAAGTGTTAACACCTATGCAGAGAATAGGGTGATATGCAGAGTTATCAAAAGATGGCAGGAAAAATAAAGCATGAATGTCTAATTTAGATTGGGGAATCAGGGAGCATCTCTTAAAAGGTGACATTTAGCTAGTATATTTAATATGCAAGAAAAAATCATGGTTAATCTTTAAACTTTCTTTTCTTTTAATTAATTTTGCTTACATTCTATCTTAAGGCAATGCTTTCTTGTCTAATGAAGTTTTTCTTTTAAATTGACCCTGATTGCCTCCTACTTTTTAATAACTGTCTTTTACATGGAAATTTAAATAGTCAAAATATGTTATCTTTAGAATTTCTTTTAAGATGTACATACTTAATAATTGTCTATAGAGGCTTGCTGAGGATTTGTAATTTTTTATTGCTGCCTTTTTAGTTTCTTTTCTGCTTCAAAAATTTTAAATATAAGTGTATTGAATATATGAAGTTTTAGTTTTAATAAGGCAAATATTTTCTTAGCATTTACAGAAGATAAATTCCTGGGACATTAGTTATGACTGAAATTACTGAAGGATTTTTGAATTTCATATGTTTTGAGAGTTAATTGAGTTTAGAATTTGTGATTCTGTTACCTGAGGGAATAGGCAAGAAGATGATTTCAAGTGAACAGTTTGGGAACAACATTTAAGAATTAAAACCAAACAGGGTTCTAGAGCTGAAGGTGGGATGGAAGTAGTTGAGAAGGCAAAAACAGGAATAAAATTCCATGCAAGGAATTTAATTTTGAGCTGGTCATGGTGGCTCACATCTGTATTCCCAGCACTTTGGGAGGTCGAGGTGGGAGGATCACTGGAACCCAGGAGTTTGATTCCAGCCTGAGCAACATAGTGGGACCTTGTCTCCACAAAAAAATATAAAAATATTAGCTGGGTGTGGTGACACATGCCTGTAATCCCAGCTACTAGGGTGACTGAGTGAGGAGGATCAGTTGAGCCTGGTAAGTTGAGGTTGCAGTGTGCCCTAATTGTGCCACTGCACTCCAACCTGACAGCAAGACCCTGTTTCAAACAGGAAAAAAAAAAAAAAAGAATTTGATTTTGATAAAATCCAACTTATCCGTTTTTTGCTTCTGGTGTCCTCTGTAAGAACTCTTTGCCTTACTTATTCTATGTCATGAAGATTTTTCACTATGTTTTCTTTTAAAAAGTTTTATAGTTTATATTGTACATTTTAAGACTTATTATCCACTTTTGACTTTACTTTTATAAAAGGTGTGAAGTTTAAGTTGAAGTTCTTATGTTTTGCATATGGATGACCAGCTGCTCCAACACCAATTATTGAAAAGACTGTCTTTTCTTTATGGTTCCTTTGGCACATTTGTGAAAAATCAGGTTGCTGTATTTGTGTCGGTGTATTTCTGCACTCTATTCTGTTCCATTGAGCTGAGTAGTCTTTCACAAATACTACTGTATCTAAATTATTGTAATTGTATAGTAATTTAGATTGTTTCTCAGCATGTTTAATGTACTGTTCCAGTGTCTTCTGGCCTCCATACTTCTGGATGATTTGTTAACCTTAATATTATTCCTCTGTAGGTAATGTGTCATTTTGTTCTGGCTGCATTCAAGATTTTCTCTTACCTTTGGTTGTCAGAGTTTGTACAAGTTTTGTTTGGTTTTCTTACTTAAATAGCTTATTGGTTCTATAAATGAATGTTTTCTACTAAACTTGGGATGCTTTGGAACAAAATGTATTCATATATTTTTTTCTACCCTTTTCACTCCTCTTCAGGGATTCCAATTACATGTATGTTTGATTTCTTAAATTGTCTCACTGATCTTTTTGGTGCTTTCATCTTTTTTTGTTGTTGTTCTACTTTATTTTTCAGATTTGGTAATATCTATTGTTTTGTCTCTAAGTTTACCAATACTTTCTTCTACTCTCTTCAAGTTGCAGTTGAACCCTTCAAGCAAATTTTGTTTCATTTATTGTACTTTTCATTTTCAGAATTTATTTTATCCACTTTTCTGTTGATATTCCTTCTGATAATTTGTTGATAACAAATATTCTTTTAATTCATTGAACATATTTCCTTTTAATTTCTTGAACATAATTTGTAGTAACTGCTTTGATGTTTTTCTCCTAAATGCGGCATCTAGGTCTACTTGGTGACAATTTCTATTGACTACTTTTTACCCTGAGTAGGGGGTCCCACTTTCTTTTTTCTTTGTTTGTTGATTTTTGGATAAAAACTGGATATTGTAGGTAATATTTGGTAACAACTCTGGATTCCTTTATGTTCTGCTGAGAAATATTGTATTTTTGTGCTAGTAGGCCGTTGACTTGCCTGAATTCCAACTTAATACTCAGTCTCTGCTCTATGTTGGTATACAGATGCTGATATCTGTTCTTGTGGCCTCCTTCACTGCTTTTTTTAGCTGGGTTTTTGTAGGTCTCTCCTCTGCCTACCAAATCTGGTAGCCAGCCAAGAATTTGGGGAGAGATGGAGTTTATTGATTGTCTAACCTGTTTTTATATGGCAGTTTCCTTTTTCTAAAGAATTAAATAAGGTATTGTGATTGGATGATTATATACATTTTTACTGCATATGAAAAAGATTATGGATTTAGAACAACTGCAATAAAGAAAGTAACTGAATATTTTATTGTACAGGTGCAATGGCTAGCAAGGAAAATTATCTTTTCGTATTTAAACCTGCTAGTGAATTCAAAGAATGACCTGGCTGTGGCTCATATTCTCAATATTCCTGATAGAGGACTAGGAAGAGAAGCCTTCACTGATTTGAAACATGCTGCTCGAGAGAAACAAATGTCTATCTTTTTGGTATGGATGTGTGACATGTTCAAGATTAAGACTCTTTGCACAGTGGATCCATGTACCCTAATATCCTTGTAACTAGGATGAAACAACTTTTAAGTGGTTAATATATGTTCTAGCTCTGTATTCGAAAATCCATGCTATTTCAGTTTTTTACCATATCCTTCAAGTTTGGTGAAAGAGTGGTTCCACTGCTACAGCAGTGGTTCCTCATATGTTCTGTATAGTGCTAGCCCTGATAAATTCTCTGTGAATAAATGTTTCCAATGTCAAAATGTTTCTGTTCAATGTTCTTTGAATAAATGTTCCTAAGGGCAAAATGTTGAGAAGTAGTATTTACCCTTATTGGTTATACATAATCCATGATTGTTTATCAAGAGCTCTGAGAAGTCCTGCCATAAAGAAATCTGCTTGTAGCAAATTAAGCTTGTTATTTAATCTGTTGTTTCCTAATTTATTTGACTGTGGAACTTTCCCCTAAATTATTGACATTTCACAGGATTTGTCTTTCTTAGAATGTACTTTGGAAAATACTGCCTTAGAACATTTCATCTTTGATTGAAAGACTCATATGTATAGCTATCACATATGTATTATTATTTGTAAGGACAAGTCTTTTGAACTATACATGATCCTAGGATGCAAAAGCTGGATGGAACTTAATGATTATCTAGTCTATATTTTTATTTTACAAACAGAGCAGCTGAGGCTTAGACATATTAAATTGCCCAACCAATTCACCTGTTTAACACAGCAGATCAGTTGAGACTAAAAATTCCTTTGTTCCATATAACAATTTCAATAGTCAGTAGTCAATCTGTGTTAAAATGTATTCATACTAAGTTCTTTATAGTCAATAATACATTCTAATTAATATATACTTTAGCTCTTAATTTGTCCTCTAACGCAGCTCCTCAGTCTCGATCTGCAGCTGAGTGTCATTGCCACCACACTTGCTAGCATGAATTCTGCATGGTATTTGTTTTCTTGGTTATTTGCTTCTGATTCAAAGTGTTTCATGAGTCATAAAATGTGCTTCATTTTAACTATATACCCAGAATTATATAAATGTACTTAGCTTTATGAAGTAAATTATAGTTTTAACTTAATCATCACTGGACGTAACTAAACCATTTGTTTTAAATTATAGGTGGCCACATCATTTATTAGAACAATAGAGCTTGGAGGGAAAGGATATGCACCACCACCGTCAGATCCTTTAAGGACACATGTAAAGGGATTGTCTAACTTTATTAGTTTCATTGACAAATTAGATGAGATTCTTGGAGAAATACCAAACCCAAGGTAATGAATTTTCATATATTATGAATGTCTGTTATTAATCTATCTTTAAAACTTTACAGAGTCAGTAGAAATAAGGGATATTGAAATGACCAAGCATCAGACCAAATGGTGGGGAGAAGAAACAAAATCTCGATGAATGAATTATAATCACATTCATTCATTCATCACCTAACCCCCTAAATTTTTGCCTATGATTCTGAGTTTTTGCCGAAGTCAAAAGTCATGTTTATACTAAATTTGATTAGAGAAGAAAGTTGCCATTTATTTTTTTCTGGAAGAAATAGATTTTTGAGGACTGGAAATGATCAAATAGATAATTTCTGTATACTTTTTATTTAGCAATAAAGGAAACTGGTATCAAGAATGAGTAAGAAAATTGACAAAGATATGAAATCTCTATTTTCTGTTATTTTTTATTTTCTTATGTGCAAATCTTTGGTTCATCTGGGATTTGTTTTTATATGATATTGGAGATAAGAGAGTTTTAAAATCTGTTAGACTCCCATTATAGTATTGGTGTATTGAATAGTGAGTAAGTTTGGGGGGCAGAAGTGGATTATATATGCTGGCAATTATGGTGGATCATTGTCAATTGGTTGGTATCCTATAACATAAATAAACATAATCAAAATAGCTGATATTTATTGAACACTTGTTATGTGTCTGTCATTGAGCTAAGTTCTTTACTTGGATTATCACTTGATCATTACAATAACCTTACTTAATAGATATTATTACAATCCCTAATTTAGAGGTGAAGAAACCAAAGCACTGGGATCAAGTGACTTGACCTAGGTTATGTTAAGTAGCAGAGTAGGGATCTGAACTCAGTCAGTTCTAACCCTGGTATCCAATCTCTTAATGACTGTATCTTGTTCCATGAAACTTCCTTCCATTCTAAGGTGCTAAGAAGGATTTTTTTTCAGGGTTTTATTCTGAATTGCATTCTATCTTCTCACACGGATATTCATTACAAAGAAGTAAATTTGGAGGAGAGTTTTGAAAATAACTTACAGACAAAATCAGTGACATCTTCTGAACTTTCAGATAATATATTTGGGGGCTATTTCTATTGAGATATCAAATATTTAATTTTAAAAATATTTTTTATAAGGCAATATAGATATATTTTGTTAAAGTGAAGTGATACTACAGTCATCTGTCAGTTTTTTTTTTTCTCCTTGAAGATATTCCTTTTGGAGAGTCTCCTGTTGTCTTTATTCAATCTTTGCTTTTGCTTGTTAGGCCTGTGTCAGAGTGGCAACCATAAATCTTCATCATCACCTTGTGAATTTTCTGTCTCTGCCTGTTTCCTGTCTCTTATGACTTTATTTATAATTGATAAACCCCTTATTTTGTTCAAATAGCTTTCTCAGAAAAAAAGTAAATGGTAAGCAAAAATTTTTATGTTAGTCTCACTTTGATTGCATATGATTTTATGTCATGTTTCATTTCTCTAAGGTTATTTATTATATGTAATGTAAAAATATTGTCTGCTTCCTGAATGATCTTTGTTTTATCTAGATTGGATGCTTTTCTGTTTTTTACTTTCTTTGTTTTGCTCTCTTTCATGGTAGAGGTGTTCCCACAATGTGTGGTGATTCTGAACTGTCCTTTATATTTAAGAGTGAAGCTCTACAGAGCTGATTAGTAGCTCTGTATAGTGGGCTTAATTATAGCATGATGCCTAGTTGGCTCTTTTGTTGGGTACTTACTCTCCAAATGTCAGTAACTTTAGGTCTTTTCTTTGGGACTTTCCCAAAAATTTCCGCAGAGGGATCTTTTAATCTCAGAAAGCTGTGAATCTGGCTAGCAATATTGTGGGATTTGAGATAGGTCCTGGTTGACGCTGAGTTCCACAGTTCTGTATGGAGACTTACTCAATTCCTTTGTTTTTAGTTCTGGTGCCCCTGAGTCTGGAGCCTCTCTGGCTTTGTTTTTTTAGAGCAGTACTGCTTCCCATGCTGAGGTGGGTGGGAAGCACTAGCCTGACTGCTCAGAATAGAGGGAGAATGGGGGTGTAAGTGTTCCTTATGGAGACTGTCAGCTAGCTTTTCTGTTTTCAGCCCCACCTTTACTGTAGCCTTCAGTATTGCCTTCAATTTGTGATAATTTCTGAGTTTGCTTCTTACCGATGTTTCTCTTAGCAGTTACTTAGGTTTTAGCTTTTGTATTCTGGCTGCTTAGTTATGACTCACCCATCTGTTTTTTGGTTTTTTTTTTTTTTTTTTTTGTACTTTAATGAAATGTCTCTACTCTCATCACCTGTTGTTTCCATTCTGTTTTTCTTCATAGATTGAACTTTTTTGTTTTTGCTTTTTTGTCATTTTAGTGAAGTTTTAGAAATAAATGTGTATGTTCAATCCAATATAATTTGTTATAATTACATGCCTTTTGGAGGAATTTCTGGTTGTGGTTGACAGAGTAGAAGTACATTTGTTTAGAGACATCTAGGGTGAGGGAATAGAATTCTTCAATTTAGCAGCCATTTATTTTGGATATCCTATGTGGTTATAATGAGCAAGTATCTTCTAGAGAAGGCCTTGAGGAAGTGAGTATCTATGTAGTGAATATCTTCAATTGGGTGTCTGAATAGTCCACTCGAGCAATTTTTGTTATCCTTTTTGTGATTTGTTTTTTTATATTTGTTCTGTAGGTATAGGTTTGTTTTATAAATAAAAAAGTAAAATTATTAAAAACTAAAAACATACCCCATGTGTATATCATAATAGATATTAATAGAAGGTTTACGGAGGAAAGGGCAATTGAGCTGGGTTTTGGGAGCCAGGGATAAGGGTGTCAAGAATGCTTATCTGGATGAGTGTTACAGTTAAGCCTAATTTTGAAGGATGAGCTTGAAGGAGTTAACTAGACATGGTGGGTGGGAGAGTGGATAACCCATTGGGACATTGCTTCACTGGTTATTCATTTTATCTTATAATTTCAACCTCTCCCTTTATTAGTACTTTAGCCACACTCTATAAGCTTATAAGGAAAAGACAACAAACTGCCTTCTCTGTTTCTTCCAGTTCCTTCTCCTTCCATTTGCAGCTGAGATTCTTAAAGAAAATATTTTCCTTTTTTCTGCTTCTGTTTTTGCAATTATTTAATGTGTATTTCTCAATAGATAGTGAACTCAATAGAGTTTATTGGTTTTCTTCACTAATATTCCCCAGCCCTAGTACAATTTTTGCTGGAATAAGCAGTCAGTATTTGTTCGATTGTCTGTACTTGACTGATTTATACTCCTTCCCTTTTTCCCTCTACTGAAGCTATTCTGCCAGTGATCACTTGTGATCTTCTAATTGTCATAGTCTTTGGTCTCTTTTGAGTCTTCAAATTTAGTCATTTCCTATTGGAACTCTTTTTTCCTATAAGTTCTGTTATGTCATTCTCTTATTTTCCACCAACCTCTTCATCTACATATATGCAAATTCTTCTAAATCTATATTTCAGTGAAATTCAAACCTCTTTCCTGAGTTTCAGAAACATTTCCTCAACTATCTTTAAGGTGATACCTCACAGGCAACTCATATGTCCTAAACTAACTCTTCATCTTTCTCTGCAAAACTGCTTCTCCTCCTGAAGTGTTGAAGCCTGTCTTCCGCCAGCTTCCAAACAAGACTCCAAGGCATGTATTAAATGCATTCACTCACTAAGATCCGTCACTTCTTCACACTTTATGTTCTTTCTCCTCATCTTTTCCTATAGCTACTATTTTATTTCTAGTGTTTACTGTTTCAGACTTTCATCCTTTCTTGACTGGACCTTTTCACATGTCACTGACTTGTCTATTCTGCCTCCAGTCTTGAGTTGCCCTATCCTGTCATCCTCAATGCTGCCAGAGTAATTTTTCTGAAGCAGCAAATGTTACTCCCATAATTAACACTCTTCAATGATTCCATATTTGATACAGGGTAAAGCCCCAGGAATCTCAATATGATACACAAAATTGCGCTCTAATTCCTGCCCGTCTCACTCTGACCACTTTATCTTCTTTGTCTCTCTCAACCTTAAAACTTAGAGATAAAAATGTGTTTAGCTCTTGTATGTGAAGAAAACTTTTTACTATCTATCTTAAAATAGAATAATTACAGTAATCTTTGAGTCCAAGGAAGGATGGGATAGACAGACTGGGAAGAAATAAAAAGAATTGATTCTTAACGCTCATTGTCCTACTGCCCATTTTTCATGAGGCCATCTTAGCTGTAGGGAGCTGCATTTCTACACTTTGCCAGTAGGTGACACCGTCAAATACATAGCGTACTTTCACCTGAAAGATGTCTTAAATGATATGTTTAAAGTTAATAGTTTCCTGTTGTTTAGAAGTTGAAAATTCTGTATTTCGTGTTTATCACACAACTTTTTAATGCACATCTACATTATACTGTCATGTGCCACTTGATGAGGATATGCTGTAAGAAATGCATTGTAGGTGATTTCATCATTGTACATACATTATCGCATATACTTACACAAACTGGGATAGTATAGCCTGCTACACACATAGGCGATATGGCATAGCCTATTGTTGCTAGGCTACAAACGTGTATGGCCTGTTACTGTATCAAATGCCGTAGGCAACTGTAACACAATGGTATTTGTGTGGCTAAGGATATCTAAACATAGAAAAGGTCCTGATCAGAATGCAGTATAAAAGGTCAACATAGATAAGCATATGGTACTGGCCATGATTGGAGTCTGCAGCATTTGAAGTTGCTCTGGATGAGTGGTGAGTGAATATGAAGGCCTGGAACATTATTATAAATTTCTGTAGACTTTACACACGTTATAAACCTAGGCTACACTAAATTTATAAAGCAAACTGTTCTTTCTTCAAGAATAAATTACACTTAGCTTGCTGTAACTTTATGAACTTTAAAATTTTTTTGACTTTATGAATTTTTAAAAATTTTGAAACTTTGACTCTTGTAATAACACTTAGCTTAAAACACAAATACATTGTACAGCTGTACACATTTTTTTCTCTGTATCTTAAACCTGTGTGCTTTTTTCTATTTTTATTTTTTTTGCTTTTTAAATTTTTTTGTTTAAAATTAAGAAACAAGCATACACATAACACGGGATTATCAATATGTCTGTCTTCCACCTCCACATCTTGTCCCACTGGAAGATCTTCAGGGGCAATAACACTCCTGGAGGTGTCATCTCCTATAGTCACACCACCTCCTTCAGGAATACCTCCTGAGGGAACTGCCTGAGGCTGTTTAACAGTTAGTGGTTTTTTTTTCATAAATAGAAGGAGTACACTCTAAAATAATGATAAAAGATATAGCAAATACATAAACCAGTTAGATAGCTTTTTATTATAATGATCAAGTGTTATGTATTATACATAATTATATGCACTATACTTTTACATGACTGGCAGCACAGCAGGTTTGTTTACACAAGCATCACCACAAACACATGAGTGATGTGTTGAGCTATGATGCTACAATGTTACATCACTATGCAACAGAAATTTTTCAGCTCCATTATAATATTATGGAACTACCATCATATGTGTGGTCTGTTGCTGACCGTAATGTCATTATACAGCACATAACTATGTATATTGGACTAAAGATACATGTATGGAGTGTTAAATCTCATTGAAATTATTTAGTCTAATCTTCTGTTAAAACTTTTCATATTTAAACATATTTCAGAAATATTTTCCATACATTTTATGTGGCACCTTTAATAACATTTAATTTTTAAAGGTAAAATTTACTTCAACAAATATTTATCAAATTCTTGAGTTTGGTACAGAAAACCCCGTCACTTTATTTAGGAAAGTGAAGATAGTAATAAAGTATTACCAATCCTTTGTCTGTATTATTGCTTAGTGTTCTCTTCCAGTTACTTTAATTTGGTACAAGCTTGGGGAATTCCGTTGTGCTTTTCCTCAGCAGCCTCATGTTTCTCTTTCTTCCCCAGGGCACTAGGGTGATGCAGTTAGGAGTCAGGTGCTCAGTTTGCCTCTTTCTCATCTAAATTCTCGTATTAATGTTTATCCAGAATAGCCATAATATATCTTCTGGGAAGCAGTCCTGAATACCTCCTCCTTCTCTCTACTTCTTCACTCAAACTCCTTTATACTTTCAGTAGTTTATTGCCTCATAATCACTTGTGAGCTCTTAAAGAGAAAGATTTTATTCATTTTTGTATTCCCAGTGAACAGCATAAATATCCTGATGTCATATTAGTTGAAACTTCTGGAATTTCTAGTCTCTAGAAGCAAGAATTTGAATTAAACCATTGTGTTGCTGAGCAGATATTAGAAGCCAAACTAATGGTGGCTCTGGAAGTGAGTATATAGTAATAGAGTAGTCAGAGAACTACTGTTTGGGGTATTTCGCCAGGGGTTCAAAATGTTGACCTTGGCAAGTCTCCGAAATACAAGTCTTATTTTTTTCCTAAAATACAATTCAGCCAGTGAATTACTTTATCTTTAAAATTTAGCATTTTTGTCTTGTAGAAGGAATGAGAAAAGGAGGTCAAAGGTGACTTTCCTAATATTATTTGAAGCATTTTTTGTTCTTATAATTAGCACTAAGACACTTTCAGATTTTATTAACCATTTGAATTTTTTCCAAAACTCTTTTCTATTAGAGATTAATTCCCAGGAAAAGCATATAATGTTATTCACAGCTGAAAAGAGAAGTCCTCATATATGTGAAAGAATTCCTAGGATCTGCTCAGACTTCTGATTACAGAAGTATGGCAGACTAGGCCCTCAGCTTGTTTCTTCCATTGAAAATAGTTAATAATGTTGGATAGCATATTTCAAAAACGCTTCTTAAATGCATTGGTAAGTAGGCAAATGTAATGAAAATACAGGTCAAAAATAGGTGAAGGAGGAAAGCTAGAGAGGCAAGTCGAGAAGGGAAGCTAGCTTTTAGACAGCCCAGGAACCGGCCAGCATGGGGAGATGAATAGGAAACACCCATTCTACAGGGCTAAGCCCTCAGTTTAAAGATAAATTAAGAATAAGGACTAGGCTGGGCGCGGTGGCTCACGCCTGTAATCCCAGCACTTTGGGAGGCCGAGGTGGGTGGATCACGAGGTCAAGAGATCAAGACCATCCTGGTCAACATGGTGAAACCCCATCTCTACTAAAAATATAAAAAATTAGCTGGGCATGATGTCGCTTGCCTGTAATCCCAGCTACTCAGGAGGCTGAGGCAGGAGAATTGCCTGAACCCAGGAGGTGGAGGTTGCGGTGAGCTGAGATTGCGCCATTGCACTCCAGCCTGGGTAACAAGAGCGAAACTCCATCTCAAAAAAAAAAGAATAAGGACTTTAGCTTAACAAAAGGGTTTCTGTAAAAACCTTGTTAATGGTAAAGTGTTTTAGCATTCAGTTTAAGAATAAGATAAGAGTTTCTGCATAGTATCCGATATCCAGTTCAATGTAGTAAGACGAAAAGAAATAAGATATATAACAATTGAAAAAATAAAATCCTATTTTATAATATAATATGACTAATTATATAGAAAACCACAAGAATCTAAAGGCGAATTATTAAAATTGACAGTAGAGTTTAAGAGTGTTGCTGGACACAGGCCAATAAACGAAATGCGACTGGATTTCTGTATCATTACTAAATAGAAGGAAAAAAGCTTCAAAAATATAAAGTACATAGAATAAATCTAGTAAAAACCATGCTAGCTTCTTCTTCCTGGGAAGGTTCGGACTGAACGTGAAAGTCCCTGCTTGTCCTCTTCCACCTTGTTACTAGACCAGAGCTTTATATCCTGATCACAGTGCTACTAGAGATGTTTGTCCTTAGGATGTTATCCTGCTTGTTTACTACGTACAGCTTTCAACTTACCACGCCAGTTCTGGTTGGTTCCTTTTTAAGGGAGAGATTGGGTGGTACTTGGAGAATTTTGTCTATTCAGTAAGATGTTCTTCAGGGTATCTAGTATGCCCTTGTGTAAGTAGACACCTCCTAAGTACTTTTGTATTACAAATAATAATGTGAATAATAGTAAAATACATATCATTTGTCTTACTATTAAAAACTTTATATTGTTGCATATGATAGTATTCATTTACTCAACAAACATACGTCAATCATCTCTTCTGTGTGCCAAATGCACACAATGTGAAGATTAGTAAAATATGATTGCTTTCTCAAGGAGCTGATTTTTTCATGACTACTTTCTCACCCTTGCCTAATCATAAGAATCACCTGTGGTATTTTTAAAACAATGCAAACATTCAGTGCTCTTCTCTGGAGATTGTAATTTTGTAGGATGAGAGCTGGAGCTGATGTTTTAAACAAATGCTGGATATGAGTCTGATGATCAGAAAAATACATTGTCATCATACACTAAGTCTCTCTGCAATTTTCTTCTAACTTCCCTCTTATATCTGGACCAGCTATTTAAATGTGAACAATCATATTTCTAGTGCTTGTTAGGGAACCTGGCATTTCTGTAAAACAACCTGGCAATAAGGCAGTGAGGGTGAAAATTTTATTTCATAATTTCCTTTATGCCACTACAAAAGAGAAGATTAATAGCATATCCAAGGTTGAAAGTGGCAGAGTTGTGATTTGTGCTCAGGCAGCCTCACTTCATGGTCTGTAGTCAGACCAGACCAAGGCTGCACTGTGCAGCCTTTCCATGGATACCTCTAGGGATGGAATCTCCCGGTTTTAGAAGAAAATCCTCTTCTATTGGACATACCTCATTTCTTTCTTAAAATAGACTGAAATTTTTTCTCTTATATGTTTCTCACATTTATCCTTTAAAGCAGAAGCTGCAACCCAAACTCTTAGATTGAGGTGTGGTATAAAGAAACATCAATTTCAAGTTTTTTAAAAACACTTGTCTGTTGGCCATAGTTGGTCCAATTTCTTGTTTGCTTTAGATCAGTACTAACTTGCTTGGTTTCCTCTTCCATAGAATAAACTTTCACTTCTTAGAATGCAATATCATGTTTTTCAGGTCAGTTTTCTTTTTCCCTGTCTCTTCCCTCCAGAACACCATGTGTTCTTGGACAAACCATTTAACCTTTATGGGACTGAGTTATCTCATTTGTGATTTATGGATAATAATATCAACTTACTAGGTTGGTTTTAAGATTAAATTAATGTAAGACTCTAGGTATTCAATGAGAGGTAACTGTTTTTGTTATTTTAGTTGTATCTAAAGGTATATATTTTAAATATATTGCATGTATATAACCACTTCTGAATCTGTTATCATATTTCACATATAACTAAATTATTTCTCTTCAGCTTTCAAATCAAGGAAGAAGTAACTTGTTGAAATTACTTGCTTTTAGACAGACTTACAATTTTTTTCTAATGGTTCTCATCTTTTTCTTAAATGCTTTAACTGTTTGATTCATAAGATCAAAGCTATATTCTTTGAAAAGTGTTGATTAACTCTGAAAATTGTATTTTCAAGTCTGTAAGCATATTGTCACTTGCAATACTATTATAAAGGCAATCTTATTTCTATTTGCAGCCTTGCAGGGAGTCAAATATTATCAGTGATAAAGATGCAGCTGATTAAAGGCCAGAACAGCAGGGATCCTTTTTACAAAGCAATAGAGGAAGTTGCTCAGGATTTGGATTTCAGGATTAAAAATATTATCAATTCTCAAGAAGGTGTTATAGCTGTTAGCACTACTGACATCAGTCCTGCTCGGGTAATGAGCTTTTTATTTTTCATTATCCTTTTATACAAATCATTATCTCTTCTATTTATTGTAGAAATGGTTTATTATTGCTACTTAAGTCAGAAGAGTGTGTTTCCTATGCTCTAAAATGATGTTGAAGATATAAGTCTCTCAATAGGATTACTTAGGATTATATGTTCAACTTGGGTAAATTATCACATATTTTGGCCAGATTTCTGAATTTGTTAAAGTAAGGCATTGGGTAATCTCTGGTATTCCTTTTAGTACTAAAATCTTACAATTCTTGATGGCTATTTAAGTGTTTTATGGTATTTTTCTATAGATACTCTTAAAAACAATTTCCCATTTACTCAGATATAAGATATTTCTGTAAATACTCTTAAAAGCAATTACTTTCCCATTTACTCAGATATAAGATATTTCTGTAACTACTCTTATAAACAATTACTTTCCCATTTATTCAGATATAAGATATTTCTGTAAATGCTCTTATAACAATTACTTTCCCATGTACTCAGATATAAGAGCATGTTTTTTCTGTTTCTGACTTTAAAACTAAGCATCGTATTAGGACAACAGTCCTGTTAGAAATTGCTTCCATTCAGCAGTTTATTTTTCTTTTATATATCTCTGTGATCTCTTATTTTCTACCTCCATTCTCAGTCTGTTACAACCTGTAGCTGGCAGTTTTTAAACTGTATATTCCCAGAACATTTATAATCAAATAGAATGGATTCTAACCCACAGCATTATAGGATAAATTGACTATTGTGCTTTTAGAACAGAATTTTAGAGTAGAATAGTTCATTTATTGCAATTTATTCAATTTTTCTGAAGGCCTCTTTTCACTAGGTGTGATTATGGTAGCCAGTGTGTGAATGCTTAGTTTTTTTTTTTTTTTTGAGACGGAGTTTCGCTCTTGTTACCCAGGTTGGAGTGCAATGGCGCAATCTAGGCTCACCGCAACCTCCGCCTCCTGCGTTCAGGCAATTCTCCTGCCTCAGCCTCCTGAGTAGCTGGGATTACAGGCACAAGCCCCCATGCCCAGCTAATTTTTTGTATTTTTAGTAGAGACAGGGGCTTAGTTTTTATTATTTATCATTCATTCACTCACTCACAGCCCTCTGGGACCACTTTTAGCTATTTTTCTGTAACAATGCTTGTTTTTAGATTTACTTTGAAGGTGGGGAAGATTCAGGGATGTTGCCCTGTGTGTTTCATGTGTGTTAACACTTCCTGATGAATAGATTGGCTCAAATGACAACCAGGTTATTACTATAAGTATAAATCAGGAATTGTCAGCTTCAAATAATTAACAACATCAATTGCTTCCACGTCTTGGCAGAAGAAATAAAGATACTAACAATCTGGTTCTTAGTTTCATGTTTTTAACCAAATCAGAGATCTTTGAAAGATATAATCAAGTAGTACTCATGAAGTTACTATTAAGCAATGTGGAATTCTCTGGTACTAAGGAAAAATATGTGTGAAGCACCAGATTGTGATAGGCAATTTGTTACAGTTTCAGTGAAGCTATATACATTATAGTTCAACTGGTAGCCTGAGTCTGCCAACAGAGAAATAAGGCCAAGACGATATTGATGAAAGCTGAAGAAACTGGCACAGCTTACAACAGATGGTCCCAGAAGACATAGCTTTAATATCTAGGCATAATGTCCAGCAGCCCTCTGGGATAGGCATTATCATTGCCTCTGTTTTTTCAGGGTGTTTAAGAACAGAGAAGTCAAGCACCTTCTCTAGAATTATACGGGATATACAACTAATAAGTTGGTATCAAATCAAGCCAGAAGTGCCTTCAGAGTTTGTGCTTACATGTATCTATATGTAATATTTTTTATCATATATTTTATCTTATTCTATCCTAGTCATGAAGTTTTTTCAGCTTTCCCTTTTTAAGAAGGTTTATATCTATTACTGCTATCTTAGTTCAGAATCCTCCATTTCTAAGCTGGTCTATTATAGTCTTTAATTTGTGGTCCTGTCTCCACAGATTTGATAACATTCGTATCTTGCAATATATTTTCCACATGCCATCATTGATTCTTTAAAATCTAAATAGCATCATTTTACTTCCTTGCTTAATAAAGCAAGAGATTTTTCTCTGTAATAGACTGGCTTGTAACTTCTTGACATGATATACAAAGTTTCCCAGGCTCACCTCATATCACTTCCTCCCTTTTACCTTATTCTTCAGCCATGCCATGCTACCTGATCCACTGAAAGCACCATGCTTTCTTCTTCCTCCAGCTGCCTCCTCCACTGTGGAATCATCTTTGATGCCAGGGTACTCCTTTTGTACTCCCACTACACCATGCATACATTTGTTAGAAATAGCACTTAGCATTCTGTAATGCAATTGTCAGTTACTTGTTTATCTTATCAAGGAAACTATGGGTTCTTTGAAGGCAGTGGTTGTCACCTTTGGAGCTGTAGCTTTAAACACAGTGCTTGGGACATAATATATACTTATCAATGATTATTAAATGAATAAATGTCAACTAGGTTTTCATTTTTGTATTTGATCTTTACAGTCATCCATGGGGCCTGTATTTAGATGGCCAGAACCTCATCCCTCTTTGATGTAAGAGAGAAAAAATAAATCGAGATGTTAAGTCATGGGGTTGATGTCACATAGCTAGATAGTGGCTAAATTTTTCTGACTCAAAGCCTGATGTTATTTTGACCAGAACCTAATGTCTTCTTTTGATGCTATTATTTTTGTGTATCTGGAATTTGTAAGGTTGATTATAGCATGGCTTAAGGAAAAATGGTCACATGCCTTACAGCCACTTATTATAGCTGATGTTTTATTATTTCAACAATAGAAGAAAGAAGCCAGTGGCACAGGGAATGGAAAAGTGTGGCCATTCACTCAGCTGGGGTGATTTACTTAAAATTATTTTTTGTCTTAGCCAAAATCTCATGCCATAAACCATGGCACTGCATACTGTGGCAGAGATACTGTGAAAACCTTACTAGTTCTTTTGGATGAAGAAGCAGCTAGTGCTCCTACCAAAAACAAAGCAGAGCTTTTATATGATGAGGAAAACACCATTCATCCTAATAGAATTTCTGTTCTTACACTTTTTAGGTAAGTAATGTGGAAGTTATGTGTATTACAAATGTTAATTCTAGAGAATTATAAAAAATATGCTTATGGTAGGAGACTTAGAAACTACAGAAATTGTGAAGAAAGAAAATGAAAGTTAATTAATGGGAGATTGAACATTTGAATTCAGAGGTTACATGTAAAAGAAGTAATATTTTATGAGAGTACAGCATGAGAGGTGTCTTTGGTTTCAGTGTTAAGTTCTTCTTTTCTTGCTTTGAAAATATTTCTTTTCTTTGCTGTGTGTCAAAAATTTTGTTAAATTATTTCAGTTAAATTATTTCAGCTTCCTAACCACCATGTTCATAAGTGAAGAATTAGCGACTCTACTTTGTAAGTGAAGAATTAGAAGCTTGAGAGATATTAAGTAATTTGCCCAAATAAGGTATGTTAGCAATTAGCAAGGGTGTCTTTCCTAAAGCCTGAGGCCTATGCTCCCAGGATTGCTAGTCTGCCTAAAATAAGAAAGAGCACGAGCACCAAACTTACACTGGAATTGACAGCTCTTGGTTCTTCTTCAAATTATGCAGAAAAATATTTACCCAATTAATGCTGGTATTATGTATAAGACATTGATACTGTCTTAGTCTACTCAGGCTGCCATAACAAAATACTGTAGACTGGGTGGCTTCAACAACAGAAACCTATTTTCTCTTTGGGCTGGAAGTGGAGATCAGGGAGCCAGCATGGGGAGGGCTGATACGGGCTTTCCCCTTGGGTTGCAGGTGACTACCTTTTTGCTGTGTGCTCACATGTCCTTTCCTTGGTAGAAGCACATGGAGAGAAATCGCTTTCTCTTCTTATAAGGCCACCTGTCCTGTTGGATTCAGATCCCACCCATGTGACCTCATTTAGTCTTAATTACCTCCTAAAAGCCCTATCTCCAAATACAGTCATATTTGGGAGTTAAGTCTTCAACTTATATTTATTGGGGTGATGCAATTTCATCTGTAGCAGATACTCTCCAGTTTTAACGATTGGGTTAGTCATTGAGTAGGTTGATATTTTTAATTAAGAGGACGCTCCCTAAGAAACATTAAAATTTTTAGAACAACCACTTAAAATTGTATTTACTACACTGTAGAGAATTTTCACAAAGTTATCTTACTGTTTGATCTCTTTTCTACTGGAGCTATTTTTTAGAAATCTGGCTTCATGTACTCTCTCTTGTGCTTCGATATCCTTTCTCTTTTCTTCTCTTCTCTTCTCTTCTCTTCTCTTCTCTTCTCTTCTCTTCTCTTCTCTTCTCTTCAAACAGAAGCTTTACAGTGATCTGTCATTCAGTGTTGTCCTGTAATTCCTCTAAATCTCATCTTCTTTACCAATTTCCATGACTGTTTTTTTTATATCTGGACATGAAATAATTCTTCCACATTCTACCTCAGAATGCCTAAATATTTTATTAACAATGAATATTTTTATCAGTGATTTACTTATACCTGGTACTGGAATCCCAGAAAACAGTAAAAAGAAAAAAATGAACTCTTTTTTTTCTCTTTTTATCTTCTGTTTAACAAGTTTGCTTTTAGGTAGAAATATAAATAATTTCAATTTTCTCTCAGATCGAATTCATTTTCTTAGACAAAGTTATTTTTCTTTCATAAATTTTTTTTTCTAACAAATTTAATTCTAGAGTCCATTTTAAAAAGGGATTTTTCTAGGCCAGACATGGTGGCTTATGCTAATAATCCCAGAGCTTTAGGAGCGCAAGGCAGTAGTGTTGCCTGACACCAGGAATTTGAGGCCAATCTGTGCAACATAATAAGACCCTTTCTCTGCAAAAATAAAAAAGAATTAGCCAGTGTGGTGGCACATGCCTATAGTCCCAGCTACTCGGGAGCCTAGGATTGCTTGAGGCTGCAGTGAGCTATGATTGCACCACTATGCTCTATCCTGGGCAACAGAGTAAGACTCTGTTCTCTTAAAAAACAAAAAAAAAGAAAGAAAGATTTTTCTTTACTTAATCGTGTCACTGAACACGTTGTTGTTGTTTGCAATTTGGATTCTACATTCACATTTCTAATTGTCATTGTGCAGACAAGTTCTGGTCTATGGTAAAGTAAATGGACTACACTGAAATGATAAAATTAAGGACAAGGGGGTATATCAATTTAAGGTTGTCTACTATTCCTTCTTAGGGTAGGCTATCTTTTATTCTTTTGTAATAGTCATTTGAGTCAAGGGGGTTCTGAATCTGGCTCTATTAAGTCAAAATGGATTAATTCAGTTGGTCTGAATCCAAAACTGTAAGATGGGTCTCCTCCATTGTACCTTCTCTGAGTCTCCTATTTCTGTGTTTTTCTCTTTTGAATTCCCATGCTATTTTGAATTTTAGTTATGTGGATTTTTTATGTTCCTTTCTTAGACTTCAGGATGCTTGAATATAAGACCAATAAATTAGTCAACTTTCTGTTCTTCACAATATTTTGTATAGTGCCTTCCAGCTAGTAGAAGCTCATGAAATATTTAGTTACTGGATTAATTAAGCAAATTATTAATATTTAGGATTTTCAGAATAGAAATACCGATACTTTTATAAAGAAAAGTCATGTGTTGTTTGATGATGGGGATACATTCTGATAAAGACATCATTAGGCAATTTTGCATGTGAACATTGTAGAGTATACTTATACAAACTTAAATGGTATAGCCTATTACACACCTAGGCTACAAACCTGTACAGTATATTATTGTACTAAATAATATAAGGAAATAGTAACATAAAGGTAAGTATTTACATGATAGGAATTTTTCAGCTTCATTATAATCTTAGGGCATCACTGTCAAATATGTGGTATGCTGTTGACCAAAATGTCATTATACAGCACATACATGAGTATATTATAAACAGGTAGATTCAGTTGTCCTTTATCCTGTAAGTGTGGTTTTGGGTAGGAGAGGCGCAGATCTTAAAAGCCACTTTGGTTTGTAAGTGTCTTCATCTGTTCAGGCTGTTGTAGCAAAACACCCCAGACTAGATAATTTCTAAATAACAGAAATTTGTTTCCCGTAGTTCTGGAGTCTGGAAGTCTAAGATCAAGGCACCAGCAGATTTGGTGTCTGATGAGGGCCTCTTCCCCATAGATGGTATTTTCTTGCTGGGTTTTCATGTGGCTGGGAAGACTGAAGGGCAAAAAGGGCTCCCACAAACCTTTTCATAAGGGCACCAATCCCATTCATGAGGACAGAATCCTCATGATTTAATCACCCTGAAAGACCCCACCTCTTAATACCATACATGGTCCCCAATTTATGATAGTTTGACGTGTGATTTTATGATTCCAATGACTTTGCAATTGTGTGAAAGCTATACACATTCAGTAGAAACTGTGCCTCAAATTTTGAATTTGGATCTTTTCCTGAGCTAGCAATATGTGGAACAGTATTCTCTCATAATTCTGAGCAGCAGCAGTAAACCACAGTACTCAGACAGACACATGATCATGGTGGTAAACAACTGATACTCTCCTGTGTTGCCTGATGATTTTGTCCAACAGATATATGAATGTACTAATTCTATGTTTAAGATAGGCTAGGCTAAGGTATGATATTCGGTAGATTGGGTGTATTAAATGCATTTTGACTTAACGGTATTTTAAATTTATGATGAGTTTATCTGGAGGTAATCCTATCATAATTGAGGAAAAACTATATTGTATTGGTAATTAAGTTTCAACATGAATTTTGGAGGGAAACAAACATTCCAACCATAGTAATAAATTTTTGCCTTTTTTTTTTGACATAGGTCTCCCACACGAGTGAATAATTCAATGAAACCCCTAAGAGAGCGCATCTGTAAGTCAATGCAAGAGAAAAAAATTAAGGTACAATTTAATGCATGCCATGAAAATGGCAGACATTGTTTTATTTTTAGAAGAAATGACAGTTGACATGCAAAGACTGTCCTCTTATACAGTCTTGACTAATCTATTTCTGGTTTGCTTAATCTACTGGACCTAAAAAGGGAAGGAATAGGCAGTTGCTATTGTAAGTATTGAATAAATATCTGTTGAATGAATGAAATGGAAAATAAAGATCAGACTTTCTCATTTACATTTCTGATATCTTATACTGAATCTTAAGATATGTGATTTTAGGCTGGGTGCAGTGGCTCATGCCTGTAATCCCAGCACTTTGGGAGGCTGAGGCTAGGAGTTTGAGATCAGCCTGGCCAACATGGCAAAACCCCATCTCTACTAAAAATACAAAACATTAGCTGGGTATGGTGGTGGGCACCTGTAATCCCAGCTACTCGGGAAGCTGAGGCAGGGGAATCACTTGAACCTGGGAGGCAGAGGTTGCAGTGAGCTGAGTTCATGCAATTGCACTCCAGCCTGGGCAAGACTCCATCTCAAAAAAAAAGATATGTGATTTTAAATTTGCTCTTGTCTGAAGATATAATGGCAGAATATAATTAATTGTAGATGGAGCTGAGAGCATTTTACATTGTTCTTGACTAGAACTGTTCCTGTTCTTTGTTCATTTAGTTTGAACTAAGTTTTCTTGTCATCGTATAAAACATCTCTGCCTCTATAGGTAATCAATAATGTGTTTTCAATCATTTAAGTTTTTCTTGGCCTTATTTTTCAAACAGAAATTTGGCTTTAATTCATTTATTTAACATTATTTTATTGGGCATCTATTATGATCTAAACACTATTTTATGGTTGGGAATTCATCAATTCATTAAGTAAAATTTTTTATATAAAATTGATAATCACCCTTAAATTGTCAAATATTTATCTTAATACAACAAAAAAAGAGAACTGTAATTTGTATGCTTTTTATTTTTTCATTTGGAAATTTAGTTCAAATTAGCAAAGCTTTTAGTTAATACCTATTTTACTATATACCCCATGCCCATTTAGTTTATTTATTTTCTTTCTATTGGTTATTAGTAGTTGTTAGCAATTAATGCTTGTGTAATACATCATTGAGTTTTATAACATTTGTCAATTCTTCATTATATTAATATATATATTAATATATTTGCAGTCAAAAGATAAGATTTAAAAATTCTACTTTTTGGACTTGAGTGGAAGCAGACATATTAACATAATTAAAAATTTTTTTTGCTATGAATACTGACATATTTTAATATTTTGATTTAAAAATAAGTCATATTTTGGGGTGCTCGATTTCTCTGTCTCTATTCCAAATAGAATAAGAAAGTAGGTCAGGCATGGTGGTTCATGCTTGTAATCCCAGCACTTTGGGAAGGTGAGGCAGGCAGATCACTGGAGGTCAGGAGTTAAAGACCAGCCTGGCCAACATGGTGAAACCCCATCTCTACTAAAAATACAGAAATTAGCTGGGTGTGGTGGTGGGCACCTGTAATCCCAGCTATTTGGAGGATGAGGCAGGAGAGTTGCTTGAAGCTGGAAGGCAGAGATCATGCCACTTCACTCCAGCCTGGGTGACAGAATGATACTCATCTGAAAAAAAAAAAAGACTGTAAAACATCACATAAGAAAAAATCACTGACAGTAAAGCACGTTAAATATTACCAGGAAAGGACTTAGAATTTTATTTTATTTACTTTTATTATTTTAAATTTTGTCGTTTGTAACTTTTGTGGATACATAGTAGGTGTATATATTTATGGGATACATGAGATGTTCTGATATAAGCATGATTGCATAATAATCACATCATGGGGAATGGGGTATTTGTCTCTCAAGCATTTATCATTGGTGTTACAAACAATCCAATTGGATTTTCTTTTTTTTTTTTTCATGTACTTTTTTTTTATTGCGTTTTAGGTTTTGGGGTACATGTGCAGAACATGCAAGATAGTTGCATAGGAACACACATGGCAGTGTATTTTGCTGCCTTCCTCCCCTTCACCCACATTTGGCATTTCTCCCCAGGCTATCCCTCCCCAGCTCCCCGCCTCGCTGTCCCTCCCCTATTCCCCCCAATAGACCCCAGTGTGTAGTACTCCCTTCCCTGTGTCCATGTGTTTTCATTTTTCATCACCCGCCTATGAGTGAGAATATGCGGTATTTCATTTTCTGTTCTTACAGTTAAGTAAATCATAATGACAAAACACTATCTGAAAAATGAGGCTTTTAAAAAATTTATTTATTTTGCTTTAGGTGCATACTATATCTGGCATTTCTTCCTATGTTATCCTTCCCCATCCCCCTTCCCTCCCCACCCTCACTGTCTCTACCCTACCCCCACAACTGCCCCCAGTGTGTTTTTTTTCTCTCCCTGAGTCCATGTGCTCTCGTTGTTCAACACCCACCTATGAGTGAGAGCATACGGTGTTTGGCTTTCTGTTCTTGTGTCAGTTTACTGAGAATGATGGTTTGCAGATTCATCCAAGTCCCTACAAAGGACATGAACTCATTGTTTTTTATATCTGCATAGTATTCCATGGTGTACATGTACCACATTTTCTTTGTCCAGTCTGTTATTGATGGGCATTTGGGTTGGTTCCAGGTCTTCGCTATTGTACACAGGGCTTCAATGAACATAAGTGTGCATGTGTCTTTATAGTAGAAAAATTTATATTCTTTGGGTATATACCCAGTAATGGGTTGCTGGGTCAAATGGAATTTCTATTTCTAGATCCTTGACAAATAAGAGTTTTTAAAAAGAAAATGTTAAGGGTCAACTAATTACTACAAAATGTATAGACAGATTTATAAAGTTTCAGGAAATAGGACAGAAGATCATCCAGTGCAGTCTTATTTACAGATGTAGATTTAAGTCTGTAATCCATTTTGATTTGATTTTTGTACATGGAGAGTGATAGGGGTCTAGTTTCATTCTTCTGCACCTGGATATTCAGTTTTCCCAGCACCATTTATTGAGACTGACCTCCTGTCCTCACTGTATGTTCTTGGAATCTTTGTTGAAAGTGAGTTCCCTGTACATGTGTGGATTTATTTTTTGCTTCTGGCTCTCTTTTCTGTTCCATTGCTTTCTATGTGTCTGTTTTTATGCCAGTACCATGCTGTTTTGGTTCAGTAGCTCTGTAGTGCAATTCTAAGCCAAATGTGATTCCTCCAGTTCTGTTTTCTTTGATCAGGACGACTTTGGCTATTCTGGCTCTTTTGTAGTTCCATGTAAATTTTTGGATTTTTTTTTCTATTTCTGTGAAGAATGGTACTGGGATTTTGACAGCGATTGCATTGAGTCTGTAGATTGCTTTGGGTAGTCTGGACATTTTAACAATACTGATTTTTCCAATCAATAAACATGGAATCTTTTAATTTTTTTTGTGTCCACTTCAATTTCTCACATCAGTGTTTTACAGTTTTCATTGTAGCGATCTTTTACTTCTTTAAATTTCTTTCTAGGTTTTTATTTTATTTGTTGTTTTTATAAATGGGATTACTTTCTTGATATCTTTTTCAGAGTATTTGCTGTTGGCATATAGAAATGCTATTGATTCTCATATGTTGATTTTGTATTCTGCAACTTCAATGAATTTGTTTATCAGTTCTAATAGTTTTTTTGGTGGAGTCTTTAGGTTTCTCCAAATAGAAGGTCATATCATCTGCAAAGAAGGATAATTTGACTTTTCCCTTTTTAATCTGGATGCCTTTTATTTCTTTCTCTTGTCTGATTACTCTAGCTAGGACTTCCAGTACTATGTTGAATAACTTGTAAAAGTGGACATCTTTGGGTTGTTCCCAATTTTAGAGGAAAGGTTTTCGGGCTTTTTTTTCTCATTCAAAATGATAGTAACTGTGGGTCTGTTATATATGGCTTTTATTGTGTTGAGATATGTTTCTTCCAGATCCAGCCTTTCTAGGGTTTTTATTATGAAGAGTTGTTGAATTTTATCGAATGCTTTTTAAGCATCAGTTGAAATGATGATATGGTTTTTGTCCTTCATTCTGTTGATATAATGTATCACATTGATTTATTTGCATATGCTGAACTGTACTTATATCCTTGGGATAAATCCTATTTTGTCATGATAAATGATCTTTTTAATATGTTGTTGAATTTGGTTTGCTGGTATTTTCTAGAGAATGTTTACATCAATTTTCATTAGAGATATTGTCCTACAGTTTTCTCTGTTTGGTTTTGGTATTGGTAATACTGTCCTTGTAGAATGAGTTTGAAACTGTCTCTCCTCATCTATTTTTGGAATAGTTTGAGTAGGATTGGTATTAGTTCTATGTAGATGTTTGGTAAAATTCAGCAATTAAGCCATTGGGCTCTGGGCTTTTCTTTGCTGGGATACTTTTATTTATTTATTTTTTTGAGATGGAGTCTTGCTTTGTTGCCCAGGCTGGAGTACAACCTCCACCTCCCATGTTTAAGTGATTCTCTTGCCTCAGCCTCCCGAGTAGCTGGGATTACAGGCACCAGCCACCACACCCAGCTAGTTTCTGTATTTTTAGTAAAGACAGGGTTTTGCCAGTCCAGTCTCAAACTCCTGACCTTAAGTGATCCACCCACCTCGGACTTCGAAAGTGCTGGGCTTACAGACATGAGCCACCAGTCCCGGCCACTGGGAGACTTTTTATTACAGCTTCAGTCTCATTCCTTGTTATTGATCTATTCAGGTTTCTTATTTCTTCGTGGTTTCATCTTGGTAGATTGTATATATGCATCTAGGAATTTATCCATTTTTTTCTAGGTTTTCTAACTTATTGGCATTTGTTGGTCATAGTAGTCTGTAATGACCCTTTGAATTTCTGCAATATTAGTTGTAATGTCTCCTTTTTTTTTAGATTTCTGATTTATTTGAGTCATCTCTTTTTTTTCTTAGCCTGGCTAACAGTTGGTTTATTTTATTTTTTTTAAAAAAATCAACTTTTCATTTCCTTAATCTTTTGTATTGTTTTCTTGGTTTCAA